ATTGGGAAAGAAAATTGATGATTTATCTGTGAAAATAGCCCACAAGCGCGCATAGGCATAACTCCCTCGCACCCATAGAGATGGCAAAATAACCCCCCGCCCTGTCCCGAGTGAGGCCCAAAAACCTGCCTCGACGCGTTGGTGGGGCGGGGTCCTCGAACCTGCCCATATATATTAAACGGGGCAAGACAATGCCTCGTCCCGTTTGAAGCACCTCTGCCTCGAACCCGCTCCACTGTCATCTCTATGTGCATACCATTGAGCCAAATGACTCTCAGGTTGGTGAAAATAATGTACCGCGCGTGCACCGATTTATATCGTGATATCCTTGAGCAACTTTCTATATTTTGATCATGATTTTCTTTTTCAATATACAATTGAGGAAATTCAAAGTGCCCTGAAAAGATAACTCAAAAGGCTACAACTCTTTTAAAATTACAATTTCTCCAATTTGAATGCTTGCTATCCGAAAAATGGGTTTTAAGTTGAGGCTAAAAATCCAGAGCATAACTTTTTTGGCTAAAAATTGATTTTTGCTTCTGCTATATTTCACTCATTTGACTTCAAATTGCATTCAATTGATCATATGTTATCTTCAATAATCATTTTATAGTCTGAATTAACTATTACATATTTACACTTTAGTTCTCGAACTTTGGATTTCTTTCGTTTTGCCCTTTTTATTTATTTCTTCCAATTCTACTAGTTTGTCTTGAATTTTACCTAATAAACAAAAGGGAAGATTATAGCCACGGTACCAAACCTTTCATTTAGTTGTAAACTTTGCTCAAACATTTCATTTGTAGCACCGTGGTACCAAACCTTTCAAAACTTCGCACTTGGAGTCCAAATTAATGGAAATCCCTGGTTTGATAGTTAGTTGACCAGAGAATTGAACTTGACCATAGTTTTGACTAGGTTTAAAAGGACAAAATGGTATTTTCACAATTTTAACATAAAACACAATATAATATATTAATTATTAAATAAAAAACAAAAATCAAAACAAATACCACTACTACCATTCCCATCTTCCCCAAACCCCTTTACCTCAAAATCGCCTCCAACTAGTGATGGCAACAGGGCATCCCCACCCCGCCCCAACCGGCCTTAGACGAGGCGGGGACGAGGTAACTTTTTGTCACGTTTAATTTTTTTTTTATTTTCAAAGTTTCGAGTTATGTTATTATTAGAGAATAAACTACAAATTCAAAATGAGTTTTTAACAGATAAATTGTCTAGAAACAAAATTACTTTTAATCTTTTTTCTTCACGGGACCGGGCATCCTGCCTAGACCCGCCAACCCATTCAGGGTGGATTTTTTGCCCCATTCGGGATGGGGTGGGTTTTTTTGCCATCCCTACCTCCTACCCAACGTTGACGCCACCACCAAACCAGTCACCATTGATCGTGCCAATGGAGACCTCATATTCTCGCTCAACCTCTATCGTGCCCATCCTATGTCTAGAATTTTTCAATTCATCTCTCAACCACATAATAATCCCATCACAGATCTATAATTTTTCAATACAAACAGTAACACCTGGCCACATTGACCAACCAAATGTAGCAGGTGTATGAATTAGTTGATTTATGTTGTTATCTTTTTGGGAATTCTTTTGTTGATTTCTTGGTGAATTAGCTGTGGGTTCTTGCTATGGTAGTTAAGTAGGTGGTGGTATTATTGGGTTCAACTGGACGTGATGGTTCAGCAGGTGATGTTAGTGGGTTCTTATTGTGACAATGGTGGTTGTCGAGTTAGTGGTGAGTAGAATGGCATGATGAGATGCTAACGTTGAGATGGAGAACTAGGATATGGGAGAGTGTGTGGTTCCGACGGTGGAGAGGCAATAAGTTGCAGGCTGCGGAGATGGAAAATACAATGTATGGTTCCAGCCCAGGATGTTTTGGGTTTGGTTTTGGTATAGAAACCTGAGTGAGGCAGCGGAAGCGGTTAAGTTGATGTTGTGGGTAGTGAAATTCCGATAGTGCTACCTTAAAAGCGATTGTGGTGTTGAAGGCGTGGAGGAGACGATAGTGACGGTGGAGGCGTTGCTATGTGGGTGGAGGTGATTTTGGGGTAAGGGGTGGGGGAGTGGTGTGGGTGGGTGTTTTTGGTTTTTATTTTTTGTTTTTTGATTTATTAGTTAACAAAATTTTTTTTGGGCAAAAAATGTAAATTTACCTTGTTACCCTTTCAAAATTTGGTTAAAATAAGTCAAACTCTAATTCTAAGTCAACTAACGGTCAAACCAATGGTTTCCATCTATTTGGACTCCAAGTGCAGATTTTTGAGAGGTTTGTACAAATAAAATGTTTGGGCAAATTCTGCAACTAAATGAAAGGTTTAGTACCATGTTTGCAATTTTCTCTAAACAAAATTAACATCGAATTAAGTCATAAGTCAACAAAAAATTATTACATTAATCTCATTTAACGGCCCAGTTAAGTGTATAACCTATCAATACGGGTTTAGAGTTATTGCATATCGGTTGTTGAATAGGCTAGTGGTCAGTTTATAAATGTGATGGAAATCCTCACCTTCTAAGCTAGCTTTTGGATTGAGAATGCCCAAGACCATCGAACAATAAATTTTTGTATGTTTCTAATATATATATTTTTTTTATCTCATTATTATTTTCTAATAAGGATCATGTGAACAAATTAAAAGGAACTTGTCTGAATTTCGACCAGTGTATCAGAGCGTCAAGTAGTTCAAAGTGTTGAAATATAGAAAAGGTATATATATCATGTGACTTAGAGAAATTTGATGTGGAAATCAATAATGAGTTTTGCAAGTCAAGGATTTGTCAATGCAGTTGGACTGCACATATCTTTGAATGAAAGAACAGCTCAACCAAGTATGGATAACGTGGTCACGTTAGGAAAAAATTTGGATGATTGGTAGCCATTTTTATGTAAAAATACATTTTTGAATAGTAAATTGATGGGAAATGTGTGGTTGAAAAATAAGGAAATGTTTTTGATTTACGTCTAATATTATTTTAATAAAGAATGTGTGGTTGAAAAGAAGAGAGAGAGAAAAATGCATTTTGAAAAAAATAGGTACCAAACGGCTCCTTAAAAGATGGATCAGATTCGACTAATTGCTCGGACTTAGGAAATTCTAGAAAGGAGTTGCACCGTAATTTTTCAGCAAGCTCGTTCATCATGAGCCGATGAAATTCCTAAAACTTGTTAATTTGAAGTGATTATATTCATGGTGGAGTATGTTATTCACTTCTTGGAGAATTGTTTAAGCCTACCAACTTCTTTCAAGTATCGTAATAAGGAGTTGAGACCTTTAGTGTCTCTATTTGGACGAGACTTCAAATTTTCTTTTAACCAAGTGATTGGGATTTACGATCCTCGATAAGGAGAGTCTCGGAGAGCAAAGCGCATTTTTTATCTGACATGCTATGGAGTCCAAGGTGTGAGTACTCATTTTGTGACAAGTGGGCATGCAGTGAGCTCTTATGTGATTGAAAGTGAAGTCAAAATGTATTTTGTGGTCGGCATACTGAATATATGCAACATGTGTTCTTGCTTTGCCCATATGCTTCAGGTTTGGACTTCGTTTCAACCATGCACGAGGGACCCATTGACAGGTCAGGCACAGTTTATGATATATTCTAAAAGGCCGTTGAGCAAAAATTCAGCCAGCAACTTAAAGCAGTTTGGAAAATGGTGATAATTTTCAACCGGAAACCTCGTGGCCCTTGCTATCGGGGCCGGATCAGATTAAACATTGATGGGGCTATATCCACGATGCAGTGGGCATTTTCTAAACTGAAGAGGATTTATTAAGGGCTGCCTCGTGGCTTCCTTGCACAATCAGGGGTCGTATATTGCGGATTTGTATGCTATTGTGTTTGATGTTTAGTATGCTTGAGACAAGGGATGGTTAAACCTATGGTTGGAGAGTGACTCGATCTATGTGGTTAAGCTTCTTAATTCAAAGTAAACCTCGGCGCAATGGGTCATTTGTTCAAAATGGTTGAGGTTCTTGCATGGTGTGGATCGCATAAACTTCCGAGTCTCACACATATATCAGGAAGGCAACATGGTGGCCAATGATGCGTAGAAGTTGTGATAGAATATAACTTTTCACTCAAATAAACAAACTTTCAAAAATCTCACAACATATATTTCATACAATAGAGTTATTTTCTCTCAACAATTCTCTTATATAAACCTTACAATTTCTCTTCTACCCGATTGCTTACAATACATAACAATACATAAGAGTTCAAATATGATTAAGTAAGTTTTCTTAACTTCCTTTAGTAGAAGAAGTCAATTGAGGCAAGTAACCTTATCCCATATCCTTTGATAGAAGGAGAGTTCAAGATGCTCCAGTAACTTCCACCTCCTTTAGAAGAAGAGTTCAAAATATTTACGTAACTTCTTTAAAAAATCTCGGCCAATGACGAGCTTTTCCTTCACCGTCTAAAATTCTTCTACCCAATAAAAACTTTTGCTTAATCCAGTTACATTTTAACTAAGTTATCATCTTGATATCTTTGAGCTTTCTTTTATTGCTAGAGTTCAGTTGGTCAAGTTTACATTACTTTTAACAGCCGATGCTCTAGCTACACACAGTCAATGTTTCCCTCCCATTCTGTTCTAGTTTTGCCACCCTAGAGCAAGACAGGTTAATGTAATTACAGATTCAACTATTTTTTTTTTTACACTCGTTTGTTCGGGCGCTTCATAATTATGTTACATTGTTTGGACCTTCTTGTAATATTTATAATATCAATTTCAAGTCGGGGAGGGCAGTAGTAAATGATGAGAATGCTACGAATGTGCCAACCTGATTTAAATATCCTTACGTGCCTACTAATCATCGCCTTAGGACCCATTTTATTAAAAATAAAGTCATGAGAATAAATTTCAGATATGACCAATGACAATAATACATAAGGAGATAATTAGAAACACTTACGTGACCATTATTACAGTAATTGTACATAGGCCTAAAATTAAAATACTCCGTTTACCCAACGCTCGAATACTGATTTTGAAGCATCACACTTTATTAATTCTTCTTGAAAAAGATAATAATCTTTTCTCAACAATTTTACTTGGAATTAACTATCTTTTATCTCATTTTATATGTAGTTCTATGGTTATATCAATTGAATGGGTTCAATAATAACTGACAAAACTCGATTTATCGATTCGACATTGGGATCACTGTGAGCATCTCCGTACTGGTATTGACATTGAGCTATTCGAGCAAGGTTTATAGCTATTTCAATGAAGGGCTTTTCGAAGAGGGAATGCGATACCAATTCTTTATTCATCATCTTCCAATTCTCATCAATCAAACTCTTTATGTATTCACAAGCAACTTCCTCAGAGACACCATTTTCATGCATGTAACATGAAATTGCATTTGCAGTTTCACCTCTCTCAGTCTCGGCCTGGTACAGTAAAATTATATATATATAAGTACTAATTTCTGATAAATAGTTGTTGTCTTCTACGAAAGTGATCTTAATGGTAACATACCTTGTAGGAACTTAAATCACTGGACAGACGAAAAATTGTGGATGGGTAGCGTAAGAGAGCAGGGTAACTGTTGAAGCATTCTATAGATTCATTTGTAATATTTTTAGCCATCAGAAAGTAGGCATGAACAAGTAGAAGTGGTCCAGATGATGAAATCCATCCAGTACTAAGATACTCATCAAACGTAGGTATATGTTTATTGTAATTCCATTGTGCTTCCTTTAAGAACGCTTTGCATAAATCTGCCCACTGAAAAAAACATGATCTTAGAGATTCATTCAGCTATCAAAATCGAGACTTGCTTCATGTACAGAGGCCAATCTTACAGATCTTTTCTAGAATACACACATACATGGGGCCACTTATTTTCTTCTTTTTTTCAAATACATGTCGGGCCCTTGCACAGTGAGGAGCCCTGTAAAACTTTTGCAACTAAAATTCTGTACACGGGGCATAATTGATCAAAATCTAACTAAAAATTACAATTTTTATGGCTTGTTTAGTAATGTACAACATTGGACGACATTAAGAAAAATAAAAAAATTGTTAAGAATAAATCGATCTCCAGGTTTACAAATATACAGACATCCCCTCATGTTTTAAACTTCATAAAGCTCTCTTACAAACAAAAAGTTTCATTTTACTCTTTCCTCTTATGCTAAATATAAAAATTATACTTGTTTCGATTATTTGCCTTTTTATAATTTAATTTGGAAAAAAAATTATTTTAGAAAGAAAGTTAATTTTTTATCTTTGATTTTATTTTAATCATATTTTTGTGAAAACTGAATTATCATTTAAAAATGAATAAATTAAAATTTATCTTAAGTTTTTTTGACAAAAAGGAATTAAAAAGAAATCTTGGCTTTACGCATTTTATTCCAAAGCTTTTGCTATTTCAGAAAATTATGAGAATATTACTATTCTAAAGTTAATATAGTAGAAATTTTAGTATATGAAAAATTGTGAAAAGCTACTAAATCAAATGATATATAAAATTATTATTAAAAATGTAACTATGTTGATTTATTAATTATTTCTCGTGCAAATTTACAGAATATATAACTTTCTTAAGAAGAAAATCACAATTTATTATTTTTAAATTATTATAACCATATTAATAATTTTATCTCTTTTAAACAAAATAGTATAAAAATATTTGATTTCTGCTAATAAGGGGAATCTATTTGATTTCAAGTATGTGCTATGTTATCTTTACCATTTTGGCAATCTTTTAGTTTATTAGAGTTGATAAAAAAAACAAAGCATTATTAAGTGATCTATCTGTAATGAAAAATGAACTTTAGTGACTGATGCACTTACCACTTTTTTGAGCTGAGGAAGGATGATCTGACCTTGTTCCTTAAGAACATCATATGCCATGCTATTAACAGTATTATAAAGAGCAAAAAAGCATATCTTCATGTAGTCAGGAAGATGCTGCAAAGCATTGATATCCCATCTGCAATAAAAGGACCAAAATTCAGATTAATAAAAAATTGTATTCGCGTTTTTAAATTTGAAGTACAAAAATATAATAATATTTATTGTCTTCTAAAATTACAAACCTCTCAACAGCATCTGTAAATTGTTCGAGTTCTTCAAGGGATCCATAAACATCGTAAACATCATCTATTATAGTGATTAGTTTAACCACTTTGGTTAAACCTTTTCGGCATTCACTGAATTGTGGTTCAAATACCATTCCAACTGACCAAAAGAAGCTTTCCATCAGCCTGTCTCTTGCGAAGTACAACTTATTTGCTAAGCCCACATCCTTCCACCAACTATGAATTTTTCAAGAAAATCATAATTGATAATATTAGAGAACGAGAGAAAACATATTAATTATCTTCCCTTATAGATTTGTACCTATTTGTTTGTTTAGATTCGATTGAGAATGTAGATTTGTAAATGATCTACAAAGCACCGGTTGTCTAGTTATTTAGAAATCAACATTTATTTGAAATTATCCATTCTGACATTTTTATGCCCAAATCCGAACCGGTTACCCAAATCTATTAGCTTAATTCCCAAATTATCCACTACTTTTAGAATCTAGAAGAAAAAAAATTATAAACAAGGGAGTAAACTGAGCAGGAGATTGCCATTGAGTTTTGGTGTAGGACTGGAATTTTTATCTTGTTTTATATATAATAATAATACATGCTGGTTACTCGGACAAAGGAATTAACCCATAAATTTTTGTGATGCATCTCTTATTCTTAGTGGTGTTTTCTTTCAGATACTGCAGAATCAAAAGTAAAATGTATTCAGTAATAAAAATACCATGAGACTTGTTGGAGATCTCTTTGGAGCATGGACTGGACCATGTTAAAATCCAATATTGCTAGTGTATGTAGAAGTCTATTTGCTCCGTCTTTTTTCGCGTATGATTCAATATTCCACCTGGTTTCCAGCCTCTGCATTCTGCGCTGGAATGGAATTTCCAAGGCATGGCTCACTCGTGTACACATTTTCATGTCAATTTTTCCCAGCATTTCTTTGAGGTTTATAGTTGTGAATTCTCTGGCCTCATCTAATATATTCTCCCCATTATATGCAACATATGAAGCTTCATACAACCTTAACATTCCTGGGACGTCCTGGACCAGGTTTCCTCTAAAGTTGCCATTATGGTCCTTGAAATTCTGGAAAATATCTGAGTAGAAGACAAAACCAGCAATTTAGGACAGTAAATAGGAAAGATTCTTTAAGGAATATTTAAAATCAAATGGACATAAGATTCTCTAATCTATGCACATTGGCTGTTTCATAAATCCTTCGTTGTAGCAGAGAAATATATTAAAAAATAAACACTTGCTTTTGTATTGAGTTTTCCTATACTATATACATTTAGCTCTAGTTAAATACTTTCATGTTTTGTACATATACTTTTAACGCCATATATAAACTTGCGCTCATTGATTCAAAAAGGAAAAACCATGTGTAACTAACTACGTACCTGCAGAAACCTCGCACCCATGTTGTTTGAGGAGGGTGAAGTAGAGAGCACAAGTATGCATACTATGATCCATTTTCTTCATCACTTTTTCTGAACATATAATTCTATCAAGGGCACATTTTGTACTCTTTCTGAAACGATATCCCATGCCTAGACGTTGAATTTCATCAATTAATTCAAGCATGTCCAATGGATCCATACCTTCGTCATTAAGCATGTGCTTCACTGCCTCCTCCAACTTCTTTATGCAATTCTGATTTGGAACTTCCTTCTGCATGCAAGACAAAAGATATATAAGAATTTATCGAAAATTTTGAGTAGTCCAAAGGGTACAATTATTTTTCATTTGTAAAGAAGAAAATCACATTACAAAAAATAATAACTAGAAGTTGATTTTAAATTTTGTTCATTACTTATATAGTTTCTATTTTTTATTATTTATTTTTGGAAATCAGCGTTTATCTTCCACTTTCTAATATATGTCGCGTTCTTCCATCTTATTTCATTTTCAATTAACAGATACTAGGTTCATGTCAAACTCTCACAAATTATGTAGTTTTCCTTGAAAGCAAATATATGAAATCAATTGAAATTTAAACAAGTCAAGTACTTGTTTCTTAAGAGCTCGATCACAAATAAGTATAATATATGAAAAAGTGCACTACGCGATGCGCTGATTTATTCATGATATTTTATGCGTTGGATTGGAAAATGAGTCTTCCGTCAAATACAAAAAAATAAAAATAAACTATTGTTCTAATTAAACACGTTTACAATTCAAACATTAAAACTTTAAGAAACTAATCGGTTCTTAACACAATACAAAAATATTTATTTTCTGAACATAGAAGATTCCTAGGAAGATAACTATTAGAACATATTAAAAAGTTTTTATTGGTATTATTTTGTTATTAGGTTTGGAGTCTCCGTTGATGAGAATTCGAAACTTCAATTTTATGCCACCAAGATTAATAAAATTGCATTAAGGAAAAAAGAAACCAAAGAATACACAAATTTGTAAAAGTTCGCTTCAATGTAAAACTATGTTCTTTTCCGTTATTGTAGTAATTCACTGATAGAAAAAGTTTACCAGAAAAAGCACACACTATTTTTTATAACATCTCACTTTTTTACGATGATTACATAAACATGACGACGAAAACATATTTATAAGAAAATTTAGGCAGGGCTGAGTCAAACTTCAAGTGTGAAATTCATAAATTACCCTTAATGGAAAGCTAATTCGTACAACGACGTTAATTAGGCTCCACGCCAATTTGTCATGAGATAAAAAGCTCCAGTTCTAAGAAAGATAAATGTTTAATTTGTGGGAAAAGGGGATGCAGCAGTAATAACTCCTCAATCATGAAGAGAGAAGTTTAACTAATCAATTTTTCAATCGAAATAATCTTCGTTAACATGTCGTCAAATTTTGATTCTGATGTGGTGCAAAAGGAAATGGACTTCATGGCAAAGTGGGACCGGCACAAGAAAAAATAATTTGGAGGAAATTTGGAGTTGTCCGTTTTTGACGAATTTGTAGTCTTATTCGGTTGGAAATAAGCAAATTCCTTCGTTTAGGCCCTCATTTAGGCCTTTTTTTTTTTTTTTTCCTTTTTTGATAATTCTTATTTTGAGTATATCTCAATCAAATAAATTTGGATTTACAGTCTGTTTGTTGGAGAGTAATCTTGAAGATTAGGAGTATCAATTTTTGTCATTATCTTTATTTTTTCCATTTTTGGAAAAAAAATCTTTTATTATTATTATTATTTAATTTTCAAATTTTCTATGTTTTTGTATAAATACATTGCAAGCCTCTTGAGGCGGCAGATTGATTTGAATGAAATAAAACTTTTCGTGAGTTTTCTTCTTTGTGAGATTTGTTCATCTTCCCTAGAACTTTCGCTACGTCACTTGGTATCAGAGCCAGGTTCGCTCCTTCACCATGCCACCAAAGAGACATCCAGTAACCCATGAAGCCCCAGTAGAGGAGGTGAATAGACTTTATGAAATCGCACAGCTCCATCAACAAGTAGAGTTGTTGACCCAGCAAATCGCTGCACTCGTACCACAAAAACATGTGCCTGTGGCCCAACCACTTGAGGATTCCGAGGATGAAAATTCGTTTGCGCCTCTTGATCATCCAATAGATCTGCCAGTTCGATGGAGAGGAGGTGGCCCAAAGGAGAACAGGCACTGGGAATCAGGATTCAAGGTTGATATTCCTGAGTTCCATGGTGGATTAAGTCCAAAAGAATTCTTGGATTGGGTGACTGCAGTGGAAGAGGTTCTGGAATTTAAGGAGGTTCCTGCTGGAAAACATGTGCCTCTTGTTGCAACGAGATTTCGTAGACGAGCAGCGGCGTGGTGGCAGCAGACAAAAGTGACAAGATCCCAATTAGGGAAGGTTAAGATTGCATCTTGGGATAAACTAAAGAAGCACATGAAGAAGCAGTTTCTGCCCTATAACTGTGTTCGGACCATGTATCAGAGATTACATAATTTGGGTCAAGGCATGAAGGCGGTTGATGACTATACGATAGAATTTTACATGTTGATTACTAGGAATGAAGTGATGGAAATGGAGGAACAGTTGGTGTCGCGATATGTAGGTGGTCTTCGTCCCCAAATACAGGACACACTGAACATGTTTGATCATGTGACAGTTTCTGAGGCACATTAAAGGGCGATACAGATAGAGAAATAGCAGTCTAGATAGAATATAAGGACTTTCATCACAGGGGGTTCTTCCAACAACCCACAGCAGCAAGCAACACGTCCTAGTAATCCTAGCCAGGCTGGTTCTTCTAAGGCAAATCCTGTGCAGCCGTTAGCGTGTCCTGGGGGCCGTATTCGTTGCTTCGCTTGCGGAGGTATGGGTCATAGGCAATCTGAGTGTCCAAAAAATTCGCATAGAGGGCTCTTTGTTGATGATGGGTATGGAGATTATGAGGGAGCGCCCGTATTTGATAATGGAGATGACGAGGAAGCAGCAAAAGAGGAGGAGTTAGTTGTTGATGAAGTGGGGCAAGCATTGGTGGAAAGGCGGAGTTTTTAACTCCCCTAGAAAACAAGAGCGACTGGTTGCGTAATAACATCTTCCAGTCCACGTGTACTGTTGGGAGACGAATCTGCAAATTTGTTATTGACTCTGGGAGTTGCGAGAATGTGGTTGCTGAGAAGGTCGTTAAGAAGCTGGGTCTGCAGACTAAGAAACATCCCAAACCGTATAAGTTGGCTTGGTTGAAGAGGGGTAGTGATGTTGAGGTATCCCAGCGTGCTCTAGTCGGCTTTTCCATTGGGCCTACCTACAAAGATCAAGTTTTGTGAGATGTGGTAGAGATAGATGCATGCCATTTGTTATTAGGGAGGCTTGGCAGTTTGATCGACACTCGCTGCATGACGGGTACACCAACACATACAGTTTTTTGTTTGGGGGAAAGAAAATTGTGTTACTACCCGACAAGAGCCCAGTAAAAGTAGTTGTGGACAATACCAACTTGTCAACCAGAGCAAAATTTGAGACGGAGATGGCAGAAATTGGTGTAGTGTATGTGTTAGTAGGCAGGTTAGTTGATACTAAACAGGAGGTTTCCCAAAGAATTCGTCCACTATTAGAAGAGTTTCAGGAGATTTTCCCAGACGAGCTTCCAGAGGGACTGCCACCACTACGGGATATTCAGCATCAGATTGATTTAGTACCTAATGCTACTTTACCTAATTGGGCGCATTACAGGATGAGTCCTACTGAATATGAGGAGTTGCGCAGACAAGTGGAGGAGCTTTTCGCGAAGGGGCACATCAAGAAAGTCTTAGTCCTTGTGCTGTTGCTACTCTCCTTATGCCAAAAAAGGATGGTACGTGGCGTATGTGCGGGGATAGTAGGGCGATTAATAAGATTACAGTCTGTTACCATTTTTCTATTCCTCGCTTGGATGATTTGCTAGAACAGCTTACTGGTGCTTGTGTGTTCAGTAAGCTCGATTTGAAGAGTGGGTACCATTAGATTCATATCAGACCTGGGGATGAGTGGAAGACGGCCTTTAAGACAAGAGAAGGGTTGTATGATTGGTTAGTCATGCCATTCGGTCTTTCCAATGCACCTAGTATTTTTATGCAGGTTATGAATCAAGATCTTCATCCATTTATCGAAAAATTCATTGTAGTTTACTTTGATGATATTCTAATTTGTAGTGCTAACAATGATGATCACGTCCAGCACCTTCGAGAAGTTCTTTCAGTCCTTCGTAGGGATGAGTTTTACGCTGCAGTGAAGAAGTGAATTTTTCTAACTGACCGTGTTGTATTCCTAGGTTATGTGGTGTCAAAGGAGGGGTTGGCAGTTGATACATCCAAAGTAGAGGCAATCAGTCATTGGTCACAGCCTAAGACCATTATAGAAGTGCGAAGTTTTCATGGCCTTGCTTCCTTTTACTGCAGGTTCATATCACATTTCAATAGTATCATGGCGTCGATTACAGATTGTATGAAAAATGGTAAGTTTCAGTGGACTCCCGAGGCAGAGGCATCCCTTCAGTTGATTAAGCAGTTGGTGTTGCCTGATTTTACTCAGCCATTTGAGCTACATTGTAATGCTTCAAAGGTAGGAATTGGTGGTGTGCTGAGCCAGAACAATCGTCCTATTGCATATTTCAGTGAGAAACTCTCTGGCCCTAAGTCTCGATATAGTACTTATGATGTGGAGTTTTATGCGATAGTTCAAGCGGTTTGACATCGCCATCATTATTTGTTCCAGAAGGAGTTCATTATGTATACCGACCATGATGCCCTTAAACACCTTGGTACTCAAGATAAGGCGTCTGCCCGACATGCTTCTTGGGTTGCCTATTTGCAGCAGTTTACTTTTATAATAAGCACAAAGCAGGTGCCCTTAACAAGGTGGTAGATGCATTGAGTAGGCAACAAACTCTTTTGACAGAATTGCGCGTGGAGGTCCAGGTTTTGATTCTATTTGCGATTTATATGCTACTGATCCATACTTTTCACAGATTATTTAAAAGTTGCAGGAGGGTGTGCAGTCGGACTTTGTGTGGTTCAACGGGTTTCTTTTTCGGGAAAATCAATTATGTGTTCTTGATGGCAGTTTGCGGCTTAAGATAATTCAAGAGTTGCATAATGAGGGCAACGTGGGTCGTGATCAAACATTACAGCTTGTTATGGCTTCTTATTTTTGGCCTTCATTGCGCAAAGATGTTGGTAAGTTCGTAGAGCGTTGTCAAACATGTCATCTTGCTAAAGGGAAAGCAACGAATGCTGGTTTGTATATACCCTAGCCTATTCCGACCCAACCTTGGACAGACATCAGTATGGATTTCATCTTGGGACTTCCCAGGACTCAGTGTGGCTGTGATTCTATTTTTGCAGTGGTTGATCGTTTTCCCAAGATGGTCCATTTCATTCCCTGCAAGAAGACTACGGATGCTGTTAATGTGGCACTACTATATTTTCGTGAGGTCTATCGTCTACATGGTCTTCCTGTTTCTATTGTGTTTGATCGGGATACTCGCTTCCTTAGTCACTTTTGGCACAGCTTATGGCATTTGGTCAATACACGGTTGGATTTCAGCAGTGCATATCATCCCCAGACAGATGGTCAAACGGAGGTTGTGAACCGTTCCTTGGGTGATTTGTTGCGTTGTTTGGTTGGTGATCATATCAAGTCTTGGGATCAAAAATTATGTCAAGCCGAATTTGCTCACAATCATGCAGTTAACCGAAGTACAGGCTTTAGTCCTTTTCAGATGGTGTATGGTCTTGTTCCTCTAGTCCTCTTGATTTGGTTCCAGCTTCTACTGCTATTAAAATGCATGGTAAAGTGGAGGATTTCATTCAACAGTTGCAGCAAGTTCATTCATAAACTTTTGATCATTTGCATGCGGCTGTTACTAAGTATAAACATGATGCGGATCTTAAACGTCGTCATGTTGAGTTTGAGGTTGGTGACTTTGTTTGGGCGGTGTTGACAAAGGACCGTATTCCTTCTTATGAATATACCAAGCTTGCTGCAAGAAAAATTGGTCCATTGGAGATGATTGAAAAGATTAATCTGAATGCATATCGTTTAAAGCTGCCCAATCATATTCGTACATCCGACGTTTTTAATGTCAAGCATCTGGTGCCATTTCATGGTGATAATTCTGGTGATGATGTTATTCCTCCACCAGATTCGAGGCAAATTTTTCTCATCCAGGAGGGAATGATGTGGTGCAAAAGGAAATGGACTTCTTGATAAAGTGGGAACGGCGCAAGAAAACATAATTTGGAGGAAATTTGGAGTTGTTCGTTTTTGAAGAATTTGTAGTCTAATTCGGTTGGAAACGGGCTGAAAAGTTAAACTCAAAGTCTTTGCTTTGATGTCGGACCAATTTCGGGCAAATTCCTTCGTTTAGGCCCACGTTTAGGCCTTTTTTCCTTTTTTGGTAATTCTTATTTTGAGTATATCTCAATCAAATAAATTCGAATTTACATTCCGTTTGTTGGAGAATAATCCTGAAGATTAGGACTATCAATTTCTGTCATTATCTTGATTTTTTTCCATTTTTGGAAAAATAATCCTTTTTTTATTATTATCTAATTTTCGAATTTTCAAGGTTTTTGCTATAAATACATTGTAAGCCTCTTGAGGCCTTAGATTGATTTGAATGAAATAAAACTTTTTGTGAGTTTTCTTCTCTGTGAGATTTGTTCATCTTCCCTATAACTTCCGCTACGTCAGATTCTCATAAATCTTCAAAAGTGACAAGATTCCATCATCCAAAGTTGACTTGATGAAGTGATAACAAAACTCGTAAATGTTTCATTTTTACACAATAAATATATTCTTTACGACTAACTCAATTTAACACTCTTTCCATGCTTGTGACCTAGTTTTTCCACGAAATACTACAATTATATAATCTCTTTGCTAGCTTAAGTCACTGCAACATACTATACCTCAGTAGTGAAAAGAGCAACTATCTTCTACATCTTAGACACCTAACTAACTGTTGTACTATCCGAAGTGTATATATATGCAGTAGTATTCTTCCTTTCATCAATATCCCCATCCCCTGCTAGGGCAGCAGATAGATAGCCCTTTAATTCCTTGCTTGATTTTTTGGAACACAGGGTTGAATTAGCGGTCTCTCTCAAGTACTTGAGTATCGACTTTACTAACCACCAATGTAGTTTACCTGAATTGCTCATCTATATCTACTCACAAGTCTTACTGTATATATTATTTCCGGTCTCGCACACACCATGACATACATAAGACTGCCAATAACAGAGACGTAAGGCATCTTGACCATGTAAGCTTGCTCCTGCTATGTGAAAAGTGACTACTTATTGGATAGCCTGAAGTGACTAGTCAAAAAAGTGCTTACTGGTTTTGCGTAATCCATCTTGAACTTGCTTAGCATCTTCTTAACGTAGTCTTCATTTGATAGTTTCAAGACGTTATTGTCCATAATAATTCTCATTCCAAGTATTTGTTTGCAACACTCAAATCCTTCATTACAAGCTATTTGGGTAACTCTTGTTTAACTTGTCAAGATAATATAAGAGTCACCAAATTTCTTTACATAACAAAAACGACCCGCCTAGTACCTTATGAAGTCATTACTAATCATAAGACTGTCAATTTTCTAATACCAATGTCTTGGAACTTGTTTAAGACCATAAAAAACTATTTTGAAGTCCGCACACAAATTTTCTTTTCCTTGTACTTTGAAACCTTGTGGCTATAAATTTCTTCTGCTAAATCTTAATAAAGAATATCCATATATTTAATTGCTCTAAGTACAAGTCTTCATTTTCCAGTAATAGTCCACATATCACTCTGAATGTGATTAACTTTACCTCATGAGAGAAAATTTTAGTGTAGTCGATGTCTTCTTCTCGTTGAAATCCCTTAAGACCAACAATACTATATATCATTTGTTGCCATCATATTCTTCTTTTAATCGATAAACTCATTTATTTTATAAAGCATTCTTTTCTTTTTGTAATCCTATCAATTGTCATGTCTATTTGGACAATATTAAGTCCATATCATGTGGAACTTCATCAAACTGCACGTCTTCATTATAACTTTATGGTTAACCTCTATTAATTAATAACATGTAATGTAATACGGAGAGCATCTCTGTGGAGGTCTAATTGTTTTGCTGGTTCTCCTGGGTTGAGTCACAAGGGTGTTTTATTTACTTATCGGGTTAAATTTCCTCAATCTTCACGATCAACTCAATCGCTGAAAGATCTTTCAATGAGATCACCTCATGCTTGTTAACTTGAGGACTTGTGCTTTTAGAGTATGTTCTCGACCTATTCTTGTACAAGACAATTTCAGTGAAGTTCATATCCAAGCTTCTAATAACATTTCGAGTTTAATCATTTTAGAAATGATAATCAAACTCGGTATTTTTGTAACCAATAGAAAAATACTATGTAGATTTCGCATCAAACTTGTTTCTCATGATAGAATCAATGTGAATGTACGAAATACAATCAAGCACTTTTCAGTTTGAAAAGTTTACATCATTACCACTTCAAAGTTCCTGTATTTTGCAGTAGGATGGTGTTAAACAGAAGCTTTGAGCATGATGGATAACATTGAAGGGTAACAACAAAAACACATTGCCTTATTTTCATAGGTTCAAGCCAAATAAAGATCAAAGAAATCAAACTCCATTTATTTCATGTCGAATCCATCAGTAGACAACATGCCTCATGCTAGAAAGCTTATAATTTAACACATACGAATTTATTCATTATGATTATCTGAGAGCAAATCAATTAAAAGCGAAAGTTTAAGAAAGTTATATTTATTTATTCATATCCAATTTCGTTGGATAGGTCGATCAAATACTTTATCAATAACTCATTATACTACAAAATAAAATACTCCTACAAACTATTGAGTAAGGTAAGAAAATAAGATATATTTTACAAGCACGAGTTAAAAATAGTTGTCTGGACATATAAAATTCCTAAGTAGAAAGTTAATTAAAAGGAACTGCCATTATGACAGGGCCAAATGATAGGTCTTGTCAATAACCTCGGCCCTTGATCAGAATCTCATTGCCACCTCGACCCTTGATCTGAATCTCAGATCAAGGGCCGAGGTGACAGGGTCTATCATTTGGCCTTGTCACTATAGCATGCCTCTTAATTAAATCAGACGTTGAAAAAATGAGATTCAGATCACCACCTCAACACGAACTATCGTTGGGCCCTGTCACTGTAGCATGCCTCTTAATTAAATTAGACGTTCAAAACATG